GACCTCCACCAAGGCACTGGTCTCTCAGGCAATGCTGAATAGTAATTAGTCACATATGGGTCTTTATATCAGACAAAATGTAATGTAATGCCTGATTACTGAATACCATTTCATTTCTGATCATTCAGTAGAATTCTTACAGTGATTTTACCTGGAAAAAGTATCCTAAAACAGGAGTAATATTGACTAGGAATATTAGTTTCTTTTTAGGTGCATTCCTAATCCCTGTTATTACACTGTGTGAGTCCACTCTAAGCACAGCCTTCTCCACTGCTCCATTGAAACTCACTCACTCTGACAGACACATGCACAGGGAGAGACTTCATGTACTCTGTGGGAAGCTCTCAAATACCACCCAGCTCCTCCGACCGTAATGCAATCAACAGCAGCTAATTACAGCTCTTCACTGGGACAGTTATTACCGAAGATCTCCAGTTATATTTACACCTGAAGGATTTTATGGCAGACTTTTTCCAAAATCAACTTAGAAAAGATATGAACAGCACAACCTTCGCATAGGCACTAACCAAACCTCACAATGACAAAAAATACACCAATTAAGCATAATAAAAAAGGACAAAAGGCAGTGTATTGCAAGATGTCAATACTAGTTCTGTGGTTTTATTGTTGAAAATTTGATATTTCTGAACTGTTAATGTGGTCTTCATTTTAAGGTTAAGGTACACTTTTTTGTACCCGTAGGGAAATTTGCCCTCTGCATCTGACCTATCGTTCAATGCCCCTGGGGCATGTCCTCCAGAGCCGTGAGCACAACAGTGCAGTGATTAGGGATCCATCTCTGTGATCTTGTTGCTAGGCATTGGTCAGGAGGACTACCTTAGCTGCTGGATTTCACCTGTTGTGCATGTTTTGAGTTGATGGGGAAACCCCCCCCCAATCACAGGGAGTTTAGCATAGAGACAACACTGACAAGTCACAACTACGGGAACGTGAGCGAAGATAGGGGACAGGTGAAAATGGTGATTTTGTGAGTACTCAAGCCACAAATGCAATCAAATTACAACTTTGAGTGAGCAAATTATAAAAGAACTTTCATCATTTCACCTGATGGTTCAAGACTCAGTGTTTCGTCATTGTCAAAGAAAACAATGAAACATTTTTTTCAGAGCATGAGACATTGCATAGTTTGCACATATATGTGCAATACTCAGGTGCAAGACCCCATACAGTAATCCCCTTAAATAGTCTCCAGAAAATACTCAATTTAAGTTTTTGCATAGTATGTCCCCTTTAATGATTTAAGTAAAAAATCTTAGACATGATGTCACAAGCTAGAGTCTTTATAGCTTAGCACCGCTGGGGCTGTCTGACACCAAAGGCCGGTGGTTCGGTCTGTTCCTGAGTGGGGAACAAATGAGCACACAGAGTGCTCAAAGCCAGAGAGGAGACTCCGGGAGAACCAGGCTCTTGGAAACACCATGGAACAATCGGTATTTTGGGAACCCCCAGAGACAGAGCACTTCTCTACTGGGACAGAGGTGGCAGCAGAGAGTGCAGAGGCACCAGACAAACATATAACTGGAGGGAAACTTGACCATGTCCATTTCCACAGGTCAAATACAATGGAGTGTTATTATTTTATGCTCAAAGGTGCAAAGGCTTTTTTTTTTTTTTTATTTATTTGAACTCACCACACACATTTATGAGTAAAAGCTCAAAAACCTACTGGTGTGTTAATTACATCTAACTCTTGTGAGTACAGTTTTGAGAAGAATTGGTCAAATCAGCATTTTTAAAGTACAAAATAAGTTTAATCTTTTTTATTGCAACTCTATATATTAGTTACATTTTTGTATGTTTTTACAAAAGGTATGTATGTATGTACAACATAAAATTAAGATAGCTAGATATTACACTATATTATGGTACGGCAGAACATCAGATCAGATCTAATTAGCATGCTAAATTGGGATTTTAAAAGTACAAAGTATAATTACTATCTAACAAGCAGCTTCATCCTTATAAACTAAATATGTAAATGCAAGAAAATAATTAACACATTTCCACAGAAATACATACAAATTGAATGACCCAATCATTACATAGCACAAGGCAAATTTGTGAGACAAATAAAGCAATAAAAACACCCATAAACACCCCTGTAGAAGATTATAGTGCCATAATGTAAAATCAGGCAAAGTAATAACATCTCCATCTCAGTGGAAATAAGCAGGTGGCAGACCCTCCAACTGAAAAGCTACATAGTGCACCTTTAAATGTATTCACTGATAATCTTGTTTATATACAGACTCAGCCCCATTGTATTTTTAGTAGGGCTGTTATCATGATAAGTTGAATTTTGAGGAGAGCTATGAGATCAAAAAGATGCTTTGGTAGTACAGATATGCTGCCCTCTTCAAACAGCTCAGGGCTCATTCAGCACCATATTCACAGGGCTCCTCTGAAGTGACCAATCGCTCTCATCTCTGCAACATGAAATGAATGTGCAGTGGGCCAGAGCAGGCAGCTATTAGCGTCCATCAGCCTGTTTTAGCCTGTTTTATGTGGTATTTTAGGTGCTCAGTAAATTATGTTTTTACTTGTCTCCATGGGTGCAAATTTACTACTGAGTTAGTGGGTATTCACAGGTTACCCAAACAGAAAACTACAAAATTGCACACAGTGTTTCTCACATGTTTTTGTGAGGCTATGGTGGTGCAAGGCAGTGCGCGTTATTGAATCATTTGACAGAATAAACATTTTTGGGGTACTAATCAAAGGGAATGATTACAGATTAAATGAAGCACTACACATTTATGATAATACAACAAGCAAAAGGTATAATTTTTAATACTTATGCATTGCCTATCTTTTTAAACAGTAAAATTAGACTATGGGGGGGCGATTGCTCTATTAATGGGAAACACTGAGGAGAGAATGCATTTTTTGGTTCAGTTTATGCTAAAATCTTATGCTTAAAGTATAGTTATGTACCATAGTACTGAATAATAACAATGTTATGCATAGTTATAGCCTATTTCAGCTAAGCGTGCAGCTGCCTGACTAAATGTTTAGTGATTTTTCTGTACTACAATGAGATTTGAGCTGTTGAGAATTGAATAAATAACATTGATGACTCATTAATGATACAAAATATTGAACAAGTTTCACGGAGGTAATCTTTTAGGTTTATTGTGTCAGTGACATAAAGTCTCAATATTATCCTTTATTATCCCAATTTTCTTCACACTGCAAAATTTGTGATCGTGACAGACCTAATATTATGAACTCATTCGCATATGCATGATACCTGAGAAGAAAAAATATAGTAATTTATAATGAAAACTCTTGCATATGCAAATTAAAGGGGCACTTAAAGGATCCATCCATAATATTAAGTCCATTTTGTGTTTCTTCTTTGCATTTGAGGTGCGTTTTCTTGTGAATTAAAGGACATTTTTTTCAATACGATGAGATTTCTTTTCTTTTTACTGTCATCTTTTACACACATAATCAATCAAAATAATATATGGAGAATTTTATCAAGGAAAGTATACCCTAATATTGTGATTGCATACATTTTGAAAACATTACTATACAAAGAGTAAACTGCAAGCATCCAATGAGATTTTATCTAACTAAAAAGTTACAGCCTCTTTTGCAAGTACATGTTACTGTAGCAGCTAACCAACCTCGTGGTTAGCATTGCAAAGTCAACAACAAAGTGTGAAAGCTGATAAAAGTGATCTGAACTCAACCAAGTCGAAAACGTCAGCTCTGTTGTATACAGTGTGTTCAACTACTCACGTTTCTGTTGTCCATCGGAAGTCCTTTTCTTGGATCCTGAGTCCTGTCTGCTCAGCACCTCAGACAGCGACGTGCGGGAGCTCTGACGCCCGGTCTGGATGGAGACGTGGAACCGTGCGCCTCGCTTCTTGGATCGGTCAGACTCCGGGGCGGACTGGCTCCTCTCTGGGTCATGGTTCTCCGGCTGTGAGCCCACTTTCACTAACGCATTTCTAGTCCTGGTGAAAGCAGAAGTCACCGAGCCCATAACCTGAATGAAGTAAAGTTAAAAAAAAATCTAACTAACCTGCCATCGTACTCAAAACATAAGAGAAGTTGCAATCATATTCGCGCTCTAGTCGAAAAAGCAATGTAAAAAGCAACAAAACTGCAGCAAACTCGCGGGTTTAAACTTCATTTGGACCGACACTACCTATACGGGACTAATAAAAATAATGACAGTGTATAATAATTAATATTTTAAGCGGTAATATTGACATCTCCCTCGCCATTTCCTAGCGCGTACACGTCAGATGGAGAAAGTTGCTCGGCACCGTCCCTGGGGGCAGAGGCTGAAAACAAACCACTGTAATTACCCCCTTATGTAAATGAGCCTACACACAGCCATGACATCATATAGACACAGTCAGGGCATAGAAAAACAATTTAAATATCTTAAAAAGAAGCTCAAAAAATATTATTCATCATCAATCAATATCATTAATCTAATTTAACTGTATTTATTTGTCTCTCATTGGGGGAGAGGATTTTTTATTTATTTATTTATTTTTCTGGTAGGAGTGGGGGTAAATCGGTTTAGGACTGCCACTGCATGCCCGTATTTTAAGTGCACATGTCAAAAGAAAAAAAGAAAGAAAAAAGCTCGTTGTCTTGGCTATCAATCAATACTGATCAATCACCAATAGAGGGCAGTCACACATAATTATTCACAAGCTCCACTTAAAATGGAATATGTGACGTATCGTAACGTATATTGGTAATATTGAAATTTAGTATTTGCCATTCAACCAGACTTTCTTTTCTACATCAACTTTAAGTAATTTTACATATATTTTTTGAAGTGAACTAGGTATTATCTACCTGTGTACTGTAGATATGTTATGTACTTGAGCTTATATCAGCATAAATGCGTCTAAAATGACCACTCAGTAAAATGAAAACAGTTGACCAGTGTCCACAGTTTAAAGTTACATTCATGTTTTTATTTTTGCAAACATGCAATCCGACATCATTCTCCATTCACAAGTCTGATTTTTCCTGTTCAAAAACCAACTCAAAATATCACAAAGAAAGATGTTCTTTTTGCAGACCTTTTCTACCGTAAGCTGTTCTGTTGCCAGTATTTCTAAAAACATGACAATTTTCAATACTTCTGTGCAGAGGAGTGGAGAGAACAGTAATCTAACTCAGTGGATCGTTACAAAGAAAGGCACTTGATAAGCTGCTGTAGTATGTGCTGGCTTGTGAAATCATTTTTTGTTTTGTTTTTTTGTATTGCTTTGTGGTTGTTGGAGAAAAGAAAATTATTCAAGACTGTCGTGGTTCTGGGTGGTTTCATTGATCACCTGCAAAAAGGAGAACATTTTTAATAAGAGTCCAAAATGACATCTGTGAATAAAAGTTATAAATACAACAGTACCTGCCCATCCCTGGTGTCAATAGTCTTGATAAGGACTTTCTTGGTGGTGGTCGTTTCAACATGAGGCTTGGAGTCGGTCATAGCTTCTGAAGTAATAAACAATAACAGAGATTATCAATCAGTCAAATAACTTTATTTAACCCAGGGAAATTATGCACTTTTGTGAAATGTGTGACAAAAACGTGATCATCTTACCTCTCAAGTTTAGGGATGAAAAGTTTGGTAGAGGAGTAGAAATTCTGTAGAAAGGGGGAACAATTTTAGAACAAACCTTATAAACAACAATGTATTTATGTAGTAGTAGTAATATCAATGGAAACAGGAACAAATGGGTGTAAAATGAGTGTTGTGGTTTGTAGTGTCTCCATTAATAGTAGGAAAATATTTTGTAAACATACAAGAAACATAACAGATTTAATAGATGCATCAATAAGGCATTGCAATTAGTAGTGGATAGATAGTAGATAGAATTGTTACTTTTATTTTTCTACTATATCTTTTGATATTGCTATGCTCTTTCAGTAGCCTTTGCAGTTGCTTCACTATTTTGCAGATTTTTATTAAATTATAGTGTTGCGGTGCAAAGTTAAATTAAAGTAAGAGAATGAGAACATGAAATCAAAGTTAAGATCAAGATAAAAACTATAAAGACTTACAACAAACTAGCATAAGACTGAGTAAAAAAGTAAAGCTATAAGGCTACCAAAAGTTTTGTTTGAGTCTGACTGCGGTTATGTATAGTGCAGAGTGGAGGTTGCATCTTCCTCCAGTCGTTTCAAATTGAGTTTTAGATGTAAAGTGTGTTACAAAGAAAATACATTATTACTGAACCTGTTTCCCTTTCTCACCTGCTCTCCTCTCCTTCCAGCAGCTTCCTGTAGGTGGCAATCTCGATGTCCAGGGCCATTTTGACATTGAGCAGGTCCTGGTACTCGCGGAGGTGACGTGCCATCTCGTCCTTCATGTTGTGGATGTCCTCCTCCAGCCGTGCGATGGTGTCCTGGTAACTGTTACACTCTAGGGAGAAGGTCTCCTCCATCTCTCTCATCTGACGCTCCAAGGACTCGTTCTGGTGTTTCAAAGAGTAGGGACAGAAACAGTGACTCATATCTTAACCCTAAAGCCACATATTAAGAAACTACTTATATTTTATGTTGAGATTGATGTTTATTGTGTAAAAAGAAAGTTTTCACTATCATTGTGGTATCAAAATTGAAACTGAAATTTATAGTAACAATATTTGACAAGTAAAGGCCCCCTCTGCATGATTTGTGGGATTTATGTGAGCACTTCTATTTAATCTGCTGCTGTTCCCAAAATTAGATTTGAATACTCACAGTTCCTTTGAGAGCGTCCACTTCACAGGTGAGGGCTTGTACCTGGCGTCTGTAATCGTTGGCCTCCTGTTTGGCTATTCTGAGAGCCTCGTTATTTCGAGCTGCAGCTTCAGTCAAGTCAGCAAACTTCAAGAACAAGAAAGGGTTTCATTAATATTGTTTATGAGGCAGAAGGTTTGTTCAATAAATAAAATTAAAGGGTTCAAATGAACCATAATATTAAATCATTCTTTCTAAAATTGGATTTATGTAATTAACGATATTACACACTCAAACAATATTAAACCTTCCAGCTAACAGTTGATTACCTTGGACTTATACCACTCATCTGACTCCTGGATGTTTTTGGAGGCCAAAGTTTCATACTGCAGCCTCACGTCCCTCAGAGCCGCTGTCAGGTCCGGTTTGGCCATCTCCATGTCCACCTGCACATGCTGCTGCTGCTGCATCTGATTCTGCAACTCCAGCATTTCCTGAAAACAACATTGAGAATACAGTAAAGCATAGTAAATATATAGATGGTCATTTCTGGTATAGTTTTTTATTATTATATTACAGGGGTACCAATTAAGGTACAGGAAGCTCACCTCATCATGCAGTTTTTTGAGGAAGCTGATTTCATCTTGAAGCGACTCCACTTTCCGCTCCAGGTCGAGTCGGGCCAAGGCAGCATTATCCACATCCTGAACACAGTTTATTAAGGGGTAATGAGAAGTCACATTATGAATGATATTCTCTTACTATTGTTTATGGTACATGCTGTACGGGTTGTAATACAGTCAAGATCAGATGCACACAGTAATTAGCTGATGCTAAAATGTGAAAAATATAAAGGTTCATGTCGAGAGACCTGAAATAAATATCAGTTAATTCTGCCCTTTTAGGTCTAGTTCTTTAAGCGGTTGCTTAAATAATACCACTGAATCTATTCATTGTTTGAATGGCACATTATTTCTAATGAAATGTTATTGTATGGTTTTAGCCATGTGACTGTTTGATTAATATTTGAAAATTTTTTGTGTCCTTGCGAACACATTGTCAGCCTGTACACAAAGTAGTGAATGAAGCAGCTCTACACGGGTCTAATGCCACAAGTGAACTACTGAGCAGGGTTTCCCAACGCCCAGAGCAGGGGCTGTGACTGTCTGTTTAAAGGAGTCAATACAAACTGGAGGCTCTGCATTGTTGTGCTTTGCCCCCGGGCGGGCAGCAGGGGCTTCCTTCCTGCCATTCACATTGAAACAGATGCAAGTCATTTGAAATATAACTGTCCTTATACGTTTGTCCTTAAGGGGTTATTGTTAGTAAAACAGTCAGTCAGAGTTCAGGAATTTTGACAAATAGATTATATGAGTTTGTCTGGAATGTTTTGGTGGCATGGAGGCCGAGTGGAGCCCTAGCACTCATGCTTCACAGCAAGAAGATACCCAAGTCTTTTGGTGCGGAGTTTGTGTCTGGGTGGGTTTCCTCAGGGCACTCTGGTATCCACCACCAAGTCAAAACATGCACAATGATCTAAAGTAAGCTAAAGTAGTCCTGACCAAGCCTAACAACAAAATCACAGAGATGGGTTCCCGGAATGCGGCACTGGGGTGTCCACTGCTCCTGGCAGGTTGCTCCAACAAATTTCCCTACAGTGTATATAAAGTGTACCTTAACCTTATGGCAGAATGGGGTGAAATTTATCTCTGTTGCATTTATTCATTTACAGCTGTTGACTGCTAATGAATACACCAGACTGTTTTTAAGATGAATGTTTCATGCCATACTGAGGATCATTCTAGGTAAAGCAATAACATCTCCATGGATGTTTTAAATTACACCTTTAAATTACCTGAGAAAAATTACACCTTTCCATCCTCATTCTTTTTCTACTGAGGCAGAAAATACTGATTTGTGTCGCTTCTGGCAGGGCAGCTCATTCAAGCTCCAAGTATGACTGACTCATAATATTTTGAATTGTCCATAAAGTCTGGTGATAGAACAATCTCTGACAGCACCATAACAGAAGAGATTTCCCTGCCAATGTCCCTTTTAGAGGCACAGAAAGTGAATCACATGGTCGCTTGTGTTCTCGCTCTGATAACCACATTTGGCCCACAGCAGGATCCAGCTCATTCTGTGTGACCAGTCAGACTTGAACAGATCTGGTCTCACTACAAGCCTGATTTAACTCATAACTTGAATCTTGGCCCTTTGTACTGGAGCCGGGGTAGTTCAGTTCTGCGCCAACGTCATTTTGGACTGTGCAAACTTTTGTCGTGGCTGTGTGCATTCCTGTCTCTACAGTTCAAGAGCAGCAATTAGATTAGTTTTCTTTGAAGCACAGTGTGTAGTGAGTTCAAGTTAACAGACTCAATTCCACTCATCTTTACTGAGCACCTTTTTCCCAACAATCTCTGCAAGCTGAAGTCAGTCAAAATGTAACTAGTTCGTGAGTTTCTTATATGACTAAATCTATGCAGTGATTGTGAGTAAGGGCTGAAGCACTTCGGATGGAAACATCTTTCTTGTAGGGATATTTTATACATACAAACTTAACTTTTGCAGTTCACTTTTAAATACTTTTGTCCAGTTTACTGAATAAAATTTAACTTTTTTATGGATCTTGAATAAACAATTGAGGGGTTACTGTGTTGTTATTGTCTCTAATCAAAGTTTTCCTGAAGAATTTTGGCACAATACACTCAGCTTTTTAACCTTAATCATTAAGTAACTTTTTCATAATTGTCTACGCTAATGACAGATGCCTGAAGAGGTTGAGAGTAAGAAACTAGATTTTAAGGTTAATTAATTTATATACAAGGGCCAAGAATAGTATTGTAATTATAATAATGTTATTTCTGTACACAGCGCATCAATTGCTTTAGATTCCTTTTATCATACTCTGCATTTATGGTGCATGCATCTGATGAGGTGCATTGTACCTGTCTGAAGCTCTGCATATTGGCTTCAGCCTCCTCTCGCTGCGCATTTTCATCCTGCAATCTGCAAACACAGCAAAAACATGAGCTGATATTAAACCCTTATCAAAACACTCGTCAACTAAATCCACGTGCGCATTCAATCTGATTATGATCGGTTAGCTTATAACAAGAGCTACTCATCTTATTATTATGTAACAACACAATAGTATCCTAACACAATAGAAAGCAATAACATATTGCCGCGTCCCCTACTTCTCTCTGATTCTTTCGATGTCATCCGCAAGGTTATCCCTGTGCACCTCCACGCGGGCCTTCTCGTTAGTGAGTTGGTCCACCTGACGTCTCAGCTCCCTCATCTCATCCTCGTACAAATCTCCAACCCGGGACGTCCCCTTTCCTCTTAGCTGCTCCAACTCTGCCAGTAAGATCTTATTCTGCTGTTCCAAGAAGCGCACTTTGTCGATGTAGTTGGCGAAGCGGTCGTTTAAAGACTGCATCTGCGCTTTCTCATTAGTACGGGTGGTTATGAACTCGGAGTTTAAGGCATCGGACAGGGAAAAGTCCAGGTTTTCAGAGGTGAGCCGGGGCATTGGCGCGCTGCTCCGGAGGCGTAGTGTCTTGGAGGCATAGACGGTCGGAGCGGAGGAGAGACCGAAAGAAGTGCGTGAAGAGCGGATAGGACTTGAGTACTGGCGGGTTGTATAGGTGGTCCTGGCCGTGGCTCTGTCCCCTCCGAACATCTTTCTGTACGATGAGCGCTGTGCCGTTGTAGTACCTCTGTAGGACATGCTGTAAAGGTAGTCTGGATACTTTTCTATTCGTCAGTGTGGAGCTATACGTCCTGCCTCGCGCTGTGGTCCCAACAGCATCCGCAGAGTGCGCCTGGGAGGGCGTTTCCTCGTGTCTTACTCATTTATAGTCTGGCCCCTCATGCAAATAGCGCCAAAGGGACATGAGTGGCACCTCGGGAATCCAATAACACGCGGGATGTTCCGACCATGGGAAAACACTGTGGATAACTTTGCAGCAGAAGATAAAATTTGGGAGTGTAGTTGGACAAACAATAACACTGAGGTAGTGGGTGAAGTGATAAAAGTAGTAATAGTAAATACAGGTAAGTATGAGACAGATTTGACAAGTCCACGTGTATTAGTAGCCTTAGTAGTTGAGACAGGTTTTCCTTTCTGAAGTCAAATTATCTGCCACAAAACAATCACCAATTTTAATATAGATTTGAGATCTAGATGTTCTACCTTATTCAAATTGAGATTTGGGACTGACCTATTATAATGACAGTTGCTCCACATTTTAATTCAGTATTCACCATATATGCCTTACTAAATTATACCCTATACCATTTTATTGGGAAAGAGTTATCTTAAGGTGTTGACATCTGAACTGTGAGTAAGTGTAAACACAATTAGTGTACTGTTAAAATCACATTTGAGTAATTGTGTTGGTTTCCTGAAAGCACAGCATGTGAATGTCAGGGGAGCACTTAAAAGAAGTTATTTAAGGACTTCTTTTACTGTCAAAATGCCTTCTTGTGTGTTGACCTCATTATGATCAAGTCTGTCTGTGTCCAAGCCAGCAACATTATCCATTATTTACAGATTTGGTACAAGTAGTTGTTTGTTATTATAAAAAATGCATCAGAGAATTAAAATATTTATAGTTCTAAACCTTTTTGTTACAAGACTTGATAAAAAGGATGGAAATTGCATTATTTGCTAAGAGAAGGCAAAGCTGAATAATATGACCGCATATAATGTAATATGTCTTTGAGGATAAGTCATGGATACACTAAGGGAAAACACGAAAGAATAGGGGAGGGACTTCTGCACTGTATAAATTAGTGTGATGATGTATTAGACTGTCTGGCAAACGTGCGAGCCAGACTTAAAATCTCTTAAGTGATGCTTGGTCAGATGCTGAGTGTTGGGAACTGCTGTAATGCTGACTGGGTGATATGGGTGACTCAATATCACTAGCTCAAACAGTGACACTCTATTCCACTAAAAACATTGGATTTAGTAGGAGCATGTTGTGTAATACAGTTATAATATGTGATTTTTATTAGACATAGAGTTAATTGATTAATTATAACATAATGTTGTATTGCTGACAACCATAATCAGTGTTGTATTTATGTGTATATTTGTTTAATAAAGTTATGCATTTTTAATGGGGACGTTATTATCAATGTGCAATTGTTAACAAAAACAGACAGATTTTTTGAGACAAAATAATGTTGTTACATGTAAATTAATAAAAAATAAATAAATGTATTGATATTTTGCTTATTTTAAAGAAATATGAATGACTGAAATATCTGAAATATTATCACTGGTTTTTGATCTTACTGTCCCTCAACCTTCACACTTTGTGCAGCTGTGTTAGTCTCTAGCTCCCAGTGACCGCTAAAGCAATAAAGAAAGAATTGAATTGGCTCTTTAATTTCGCAAAGGCCACTGCGCTCCTTTGTCCTGCTCTATTACATAACCAGGGATTTAGAAAAGGTTATTGGAACTTTAATTACTGTAGGATAACCAATAAATTACTTGGACAATTTTCAGGCACAGCAGTTAATTATCCAAATTTAAAAAGGAGAATAAATAATAAATTGCTTGCCAGAGTAAGGTTATGACGACATTGTGCAAGCGGCAGCCCACACAAGCTGAGGCCAGTGCACTGGTAAACAGTGAAACCCCATTGCCAAAAGCTTCCATTCACATGATCAACATTCACTCCTGGAGGCAGAGGAGGGGCAGTTGAAATTCCTGCTCTCGGGCCCATTATGAGGGCAGCTCTGCCAATGTTCACCATAGACAGAGACAGGGCCAAACAGGATTGTCCAACACAGTGCGGGGATTGTATATTGCTGATCTGTCAAACTAACTGAGGCAACAGAATGCAGACAGTAGGCCCTAATTATTGTTGGGGGACGCGTGTTTGTCTTTTGGGCCAAATAGTTTCCATTCTCCTGGTGATGCAGGGAAACAGAACTGGACTGGATATTTGTGATGTTGAAAAAATTGAAAATGTGATATTAATAATTAGGTAATTAATTAGTCTAGATCATTTTAATAAAGCATTTGTTCATTATGAATTAAGTTAGAAAATTGTTTAAGAAAAATTTGCATAGTCACTTATCATGGTTTAACCAGAGGTTAATCCTAATCATGTTTTGGAGAAAAGCAAATTAAAAAAATATTGGAAGGTACAAATGTAGATCATACATTTTACATATAATTGTATATTTATGTATCAATATCGCCAAGATCCCCAGCCTAACAAACAATATTAAATGTGTAGTAGGAGACTTCTTCTTCTTTCTTTTTTTTACTCTAAAGAAGCAATAAGAATACATAAAGGGAATATATCTATAGCTACACAATGCTGAAGTTTCCAAATCTAAATATATGTTTTTGTTTTTTTTGTTTTTTTTTATTCCAAAGGTTTGACTTTGCAACAACACTACAGGGGAGCTCATTACACGACCCAAGACTAGCACAAGCAGAAGTATCAAGGAGCCATTAGTCAGAGTCAGGCCAGCTATTATGAGATGGGGCAAAAGATAAAGCTTTTTTTTAATTCTCTGTCACTGTTTTAAACCTGCAGGGCGACACAGCAAAAAGGCAAGTTCTGTTTTGATCTCCCATGATGGTGAATCACCAAACTGTGCTAGTATCCATGGCAATGTCTTCCAACAAAAACAGAGAAAAACTGTAGCTATTGTTTCCAAATAAGAAAAACAAGCGAAACTAAGTCTACAATTCTTAGGACACTAGGTAAACTTGTACTGCATTTCATTCAAACTAACAAACATAAAAACACAGGTGTTCAAATAGACTATAGATTTAATGAAACAAGGCTGTTAAAATGGAATGTTGAATGAAAGATAAAAAGAAAAAGTAAAACTAAATCTAAAAATTATAGACAATATCTCCTGATATTGTATGCTGTAAGCTGCAAAAATGAATAAAGGGCTGCTTTGAGGGTGAAGACAGATTTAAAGGAGGAGGCTGCTACACTACAATGAGTCTTTGCACCCCAGTGAGCACATAAAGAATGGACTAAAGTAAATGACGACAGGAAAACCGTAAATCAATGCCACAGGCCTATGGAGGTTCTCTTTAAGGCTTCATGTGTAATGTATTACAATATAAAAGCTCTTTGGTTTTTAATCTAGCATTCCATTCATAAATTTACTTCTATATTTAATAAGATATAGATTTATTTCACAATCATTCTTTTAAAATGAGAGACAGACATCTATTCAAATCTAATTCTTTTTGTGCATGACTGAAGGAAATTGTTCTGCACTCTCCTCTTTAAAAATATAACTTGTTTTTATTGACTTGAAAAAATGTGCTCTACAAAGTAACTTTCTTTGCCTAATAAAAATATACAGTGTACTTTCTGTCTAAAAAAAGATTACTGTGGATTTGGGATGTTTTGTTCAAAACTTTTCTAATGTTCAGCTAGGCACGATTAGTCTCTGAATTTGGAGAGCAAAACTTGCCCCAAGTACCTTTGGACCAACAGAGGAATTAATCCGTGCCTTTTTTTTTTCTCTCTAGATCACCATGACGACTGACAACCCCCTGGAAAGTATCCAGACTCCAAAAAACCTTAGGCCATTCTGTTTTTGTCTTTCTAATTCTTTGTTTCGTTCAGTGGAGGGTCAGGAACGGGGGAGAGGGACCCCTTACACACCAGTTACAACTTCCACTATATAGACAAAAAAAAAAAAATGCATTTGTCTGCTTACTATGTTTTTGCCCTAAACCTAATTTGTAGATCGCCAAAGCTTCAGTAAAGTTTGGTATGGCTTGTGGTGGGGCTTTTTCAAGGATATTGTCCGCTGGTTATGAACGCATTTGAACCCTGTCTGTCAGTGTTAGTTAAATCAACTGTCACTTGCATATGTCGACTTGTATCAGACACACAGTAGGGCTCAAATGACACTGGCAGATGACACTTGTCTTCTTCACCCTTGTCTGCAAAACCAAGACACAAAAACTTAAAAAATCAAAAGCAACATTTTTGTACAATGATAAAAGACATCCACATACTGATGAATATTAGACCCAAGGCTGGATAAAATGCGTCATAAAGCCTAATAACCTTGGAAAAGTCAACTGTCCCCACAGTGAAAATCTGCTTCTAGGCAGAACTCATAAATGCTTTGATTATTTTTCAGAATATTCTGCTGTTATGTTGTTTCATGTGATTTACAAATAAGGATTTGTAGCTGTTTGCTAGATTAATTTAAGCTTGTGGTAAATCCTTCAATGCAATTCTAGGAAATGAATGAAACCTGCATTATGGAAATTACACCCAACACCAGTATTTTTATTATCACAAAATAAAGAATGAATAAATATATTCAAACATTTCTGCAAAAGCACATATAATCACATATTGGGATAATCAAATAATAAGTTAAATCCATGTTTGAAAAGATATAACTGAGATATACCTAATATTTTAAACAGAAATAATCATCTTACACAATTAATTAATATGCATAAAGGGACAAAAATAAGATGTTTAACAATAATGGCACATTGTCCACAACACCTATCACAATATTGGACAGTACTGGTTACATCTCCATTGCCGTGTCTCCCCCAAGTCATGGGCTTGCACTACACTCCGTTCGCCACTAGATGTCCTTCTTGCCTGTATTACAGCTGAGGACTCCCCTTCAGGATGCACTTTTCTATCTGACAGTTTAAACTCCACTGAGGTAAAAGAGGAAAGACTACCATTCTTGTTTGCCCAGGTTTTTGTGATCTCAGATTGGGGCTCAACTTTGATATCTCCAACTACTTTTTGACCACTTTTAATACTTGCATCAT